ATTTCTATTTTATTATCTTAAGTTGTTGATGTTAAAATAATTTTATATTGTAATTTTAAAATTTGGTTTGGTCATTTTTATGTTTTGATCTTTTTGTAAGTTATGTAATTTTGTTCTTTTGCTAAATAAAACCTTTTATATAGATTTTTTTGGATGGATTGTCATTTATGAGAACCTGTTATATTTGAGTGAAAAGAATCCTTTAGCCATTTTGTTGTCTATTGCATGTATATGTAGTCGTTTAATAGCCGTCTAATAATGACTAGTCTATTCTTGGGCTACATTTAGACGTCTATCAGATTTTCACTGACAGCCCAAATTCAGTCTTGTTTTAGCCAAGACCCATATGCACTGTCTTTAAGATGTATAAATGTAGTCGTTCAATAGCCGCCTAATTGTTGACTGTCTTTTCTTGGGCTATGGGCTATGTTTAGACGTCTATTAGATTTTCACTGACAGCCCAAATTTAGCCTTGTTTTAGCCTAGATGTCTGGGCTATGTTTTGACGGCTATTAGACGTCTTTTAGATGCAAAATTGCTTGTTGGGAAGTAATTGGCGCAATATTATTTTTTCTCATTTAAAGAGCTCATTAGTAATGTGTGCCTATAGGCGGGTCCACAACGCGCATGCACTTTTTCATGTAGATGGTCTGTTTTAATGGTTTGCTTTAACCTTGTGAACGATCAGATCCACTTGCAAATTCCGCATTGTAAATAGCGAATCCGCCATGGCGCGAGTGCAACTGGCTTTTAAATGGAATGGAAGATGAGACTCAAATGGGTTAATTGCACGTTACGCCCAAAACACACCCATTACTTATTAAGAGAATAGGGACAACACTTTTTTTTCTCGTCGTTAAAATAGCAAAAGTGGTTTCTAACATGCCCTAAATACATTTGCACTGTGCGCTTTAGACCATGCACTTAGATTGTTAAAATAGAGCCCTGAAATGTACTCCTAAATCTGAACCGACATATTAATTTTTAATTAAGGCATGAACACAGTTTTGAACACAGATTGTACACTGACCAAACAATTTTGTGCAACTTTAATAATAGCAGTTTTATTACATTTACCCAATCTAGCCTCTGGTCTTTGAAAATAGGACATACCGTACCATGTGCTCACTTTTATTTAACCCAAATAACAATAAAAGCAACTTGCTTCAACTTGTGTGTATGTATGTCAAGTCAATTTTATTTGTACAGCGCTTTTCACCATACACATTGTTACAAAAATAATCATGATGTTATTGTTAATAATATCTTACAGTTTTTTTTTCGATTGCTAAACGACAATGAGCACAACTGGAGCTAAATGTGCAAAACTCTAACCACAGTCTGCATTACCAACAGTCACCTGAGCACAACTCTTAACACACGGCTCAAAACAGGCTCAGTGTGCACAACACTATGCACAACCCTCACTGAGATAACACACACTGTCACTCAGAACACACTGAGAGGAAAAACAGTAGCATCAAACACCAATGCAGAAAATCCAAACTTTTCATCTTTACAGTTTCAACAATTTCACACTTCATACAAACTAATATTTTCTTCAAAGAAAACAGTGACATTCTTTCATTTGATATATTTACATTTTTAGAACATAACAATTGAAAATTAGCAGTTTGCTTCAATAGTCTGTAGTAATTTACAGAATTACAGTAATGAGAAAAAAAGGTAGAAACTAAAAGTACATACTGTGATACTGTAACCCTCCCTCCCCAGACAGCAAACTGACATTGAATCAACGTGGAAACGACGTCTCTCATGACATCGAAACAACGTTGATTTTGCTCATTGAATTACAGTAACGTTGAACCAACGTCAGACGCGGCATTCTTCAAAGCTAAATGAAAATCGAAAATTGGTTTGCTTTCGTAACGTTGAAACAATGTTGATTTCAAGTTGATTTTCCGTTAGTTTTGAAAGAATGACACGTCTGACGTTGGTTCAACGTTACTGTAATTCAATGAGCAAAACAATGTCAGATCAACGTTGTTTCGATGTCATGTTTCCACGTTGATTCAATGTCAGTTTGCTATCTGGGTCTCTCAAGCATTAGGCCACAAGTTTTCAGCCTTTCAGCTGAAATAGTTTGAACATCAGCAGTGTGTGAAATGCACAAGGCTGAAATTTATTCTGTTTTGAATGAGTGGTTTACAGTTTTGACAGCAGTGTGTTAGCATTTGAACAAGTGCTGTAAATCCACAGTGTTGTGCAGGTTGTGGTTAAAGTCATGGGATAAGTGTGTAGAGTTTTGAAAACTGTGTTCAAGAACTGAAAAACGATCTAGAGTTTGGTCAACATGAACTGCTGCTGTGCAGACTGGAGTTAGAGTTTTGCACATGTAGCTCCAGTTGTACTCCACTGTGGTTTAGCAATCGAAAAAAACTGTAATATCTTCATGCCTTATTGCCACAATAACAAATTAGAGCTTGTTCACAATTTGCTTTACATGAATATACCATATGTATGCAGGTAAAGTTGGATATACTTGCATATCTGACTTTATACATAGAAATGTTCACCATTGGTGTTTAGCATCTAAAAATGGCCTACATATGGCAAGTCAAGAGTTTGACACCCATGTGGCCACTAGTGGCCACTACTAACCTACCTTGTTAAGGGACAAACATTACGTTGGAGAAAAAAGATTTGTACTTTTTTTTGGTTAACTCTGATTGTTGTTTTAGTACTTAAGACAATTTTTCACACTGTGACAGATGCTCACATGCACACAAAGTTTTGCTTTATGAACAGGGTAATTTAGTCAAGCTCTCCGTAAATAGTAACAGCACCAGTCTGTCTGTAATCTGACAAAGCTTATGCTGTTTGGTAAAATTAAAAAAAAGAAGAAAGTATTCTTATGCTAGCTTTGTGTTATTTAATTATTTATTTTAAGAGAATGGCTTTTGGATTCTGTGTTAAAACAAGAGAACCATGTGTTTTCCGTGAGGTACAGAAGATTTAGTGGCTTAATGAAATGGCATGTGGCCCTGATGGCTGCCATCACTCAAATCAGTTCTCTTGCCCACGGCTACATCTCAAACACGTGAAAAAGCTTGTGATGAGCTTAAATAACACCAAACAGGAAAAGAAGGTCAAAAAAGTCAATAGAGTATCTAATGGATTAAAAGGAGATAAAAGACTAGACTGATAGAAGACACAAAAAGGACCAAATTTAAAAAGCTGCTTGTCAAGCTTCCACCACATATGGTTTAATTTTATGACTATTCTGAAAACAGCAGCACTGGATAAAAGATAGAAACTCTAGGATTCATTGAGCAGACAACTGCTGTTCTTACACGAAGCATTTCTCATCAAAACAGTATTTGTTCAAATGAAACAGTAAATAGCACGATTTGCAAACTGCAGTGATGCATTTTCAATATGCTGTTCATATTTTCTTTTTACATCATTATGAACATTAAAAGATTGTTATTTATCATATGTCTTCTTGATCTTCATTCACTTTAATTTTAATTTTTTGTAATTTCTAATCCTCCCAGTGACCCTGCAGAGGATAAACACTTTGGGGAATGAATGGAGTTCTACTCATCAGGTTATCTTTAAAAAATGATGATGTCATGGCAATTCCTTAGTTAGTTTGGCAAATATTTACATTGCGGCATGCACATTGTTTCTGATCAAATTGTGTATGTTGCTTCTAGCTGCTAGGGGTTATGTGTATATCTGGTCGTTATACTTTTTATGAATTTATGAAAATTATTGTTTTCCTTCAGCACATGTTTAATTCAGTTATAATATTTTGAATATTGAAATATAAATATGTGTTCTAAATATTCAACGCATTCTCACCCCAAGGCGTCACCTTTGACCATGCTTCAATATTTGACATTTTAGGCGCCCTTTAGCGTCAGTTATATAACATATATATAATATATACATACATTACCAGTCAAAAGTTTTAGATTGGTAAGATTTTTTGTTTTTAAAAGAAGTCTCTTCTGCTTACCAAGGCTGCAATTATTTGATAAAAAATACCAAAAAAAAAGTAATATTGTGAAATATTATTACAATTTAAAACAGCGATTTTCTATGTGAATATAGTGAAGTGTAATTTATTCCTGTGATCAAAGCTGAATTTACAGCATCATTACTCCAGTCTTCAGTGTCACATGATCCTACAGAAATTATTACAATATGATGCTCTAGAAACATGTATGATTATTATCCATGTTGAAACATGTAAAACATGTTTTTTACATTTTTATTTCAGGATTCTTTGATGAATAGAAAGTTCAAAAGAACAGAATTGATCTGAAATGGAAAGCTTTTGTTACATTAATCACTACCATTCAAAAGTTTGGGGTCAGTAAGAATGTATTTTTTTATTTTTGGGGGAAAGAAATTAGAAAATACTTCTATTCATCAAGGATGAGTTAAATTGATCAAAAGTTACAGTAAAGACATTTATAATGTTAGAAAAGATTATATTTTAAATAAATGCTGTTCTTTTGAACTTTCTATTCATCATATAATTTTTGGGGGAAAAAAATGGTACATGACTGTTTTCAAAATTGAAAATAATAATTTATGTTTTTTGAGCATAAAACATTGCATAAAATAATATTAGAATGATTTCTGAAGGATCATGTGACACTGAAAACTGATATGTAATCAGCAACAGTAATGACGCTGAACTGTAATTTCAAATTACATTTTAAATTATATTAAAATAGAAAACAGTCATTTTAAATTGTCATAATATTTCACAATATTACTGTTTGTTATTTTTTTTCATCAAATAAAGCAGCCTTGGTGAGCAGAAGAGACTTCATTTAAAAACATAAAAAATCTTACTGATCTAAAACTTTTGACCTGTAGTGTATATATATATATATATATATATATATATATATATATATAGTGTATGTCCCTCTTTCAGCAGTATATTTTCTATAGAGAGGGGGTCATTAGTACGATCTCTGTGAATAAGGCTGAATCAAGCAGCGCAGATAGCCTATTCCTCCAAGCGTTTCTAAAAAAAAAAAAAAAAAAAAAAAAAAATCCAGAAAGAATATATCACACTGCAAAGCACCATGAACAAAAAATTATTTCTTTGAGCGTCTTGCGCAGCTCTTGACTGCGATACGCGTAAATGAGAGGGTCTATAAGCGAGTTGCATATGATAAGAATCAGAAAAAGGTTGAAATGGCTGAAATAACACTTGCAGTAAGGGTTTGTGGGACAGGTGAGGATAAGGATGAGGTGGAGGAAAAACGGTCCCCAGCAGATGATGAAAACCCCGAGCAGTATAGTCAGAGTGATGGCTCCCTTCATGCTAGTGGCTTGCCGGTGGCTCTTATGGAGGGCCATGATGCGTCTGGAGTGGACGTGCGCCAGGATGAACATGTGCAGGTACAAAACCGCCGTGAACACCAACGTCACGCCGAAAAACGTGACGAGACAGGCGATGACCGCGTTATCAGTGTGATAAACGATAAATAAAGAGCTAGAGGTGATGCTGGTGAGCCACACCACCGCGATTATAGCCACGGCGCGCTGCGTGGTCATGATGCTGTGGTACCGGAGTGCGTAAAAGATGGTGATATAGCGGTCCGCGGCAATAGTGCAGAGGAATGACAACGAGGACACGACAGAACTGCAGATCATAATGTCAATCACATTGTCTAAGTGCTGTAACATCTTTGCAGTGACGAGCAGCAGCCCATGCTCCGTCAACAACATGAAGAGCGTCTCCACCACATTACTTACGCTCACCAGCATGTCCGACACCGCCAGACAGCAGATGAAATAATACATAGGCGAATGAAGATTCCTGTTCTTGATGATGGCCACCACCACCAAAATGTTTTCCACCAAACTGATCAAGCCGAGCATTAGAAACAATTCCTGGGGGATCATGATTTGGGCGATCCCTGTTGCATTCATGTCACCGGGAGTTGCACTGCTGTTCAAAGTGATGTTATTGTCAGGATTATACATGTAGTCCATGTGTTTCATGCTGAAGTGATGGCGTAACGAGTCGTTCATGCTTCTTCGGGTTAGTTACCTATTCAGTCCCTCTGAGTCTTTTAGATGTAGTCTAATTTTCCTTCACCACACCTTCAATATTAAAACAAGACAGTTCAGTATGTCACAATGACCAGTTCCGGCAAATCCAAAATGAGATGTAATATTACAGATTTTAATCGAAACGATTATACAGCTATAAATGAACACAAGCATGTTATACCTTTCAATATTCCTGCTGCACACAACACAGTCGAAGTCCGCAAACATGCGCTCTTTACTGGGTACTGCCTCAGACTTTTAGGCTACTGACCATTAAGAGTCAGAAGAATTTGTGCTTTACATTTTGTAATGATTTAGATTCTATCGTACCTGCTTTGTCGAGATTTGAAACTCACCAAAGTAATGTGAAACCACCAAAGTTATGTGAACCTAATAAAGCACGATGTTCCTCAAAGAAGGCAAACAATAAATAAATAAACAAAACAAACAAACAAACTCATAAAACATGAGCTCCTTTTATTGATTCCGTCTTCTCCTCTAAATGCAATGATGAAAATGACCACTGTCTCTCCCACATCCCTGTCATCTAAACCAATCACATGACACAAACCACAAATGTAAAAAGTTAATTTTGCTCTAAATTTAGTGCCTAAGCTTTATGAATACCACACATCATGTGGTTGTCCGTCAATGTGTAGGTTAGGCTACTGAAAAAAATCTTAATAGGCTTCTTTTACTTTTCCTACACAACTCAGTAATTTATGAAATTAGTATATTACCATAGGCTATGAAATTCATTAAACCCTCTGGGGTTGACAAACATAATATAAAATAATAGTGGACAAGATTAAATCATACGAGAAAAAAAACATTATATTAAAATAGAAAACATTGATCAGTGATTGGTTTATTCAGTTTGATTGACTGAACAAGCACTGTTATTTATTGTTATGAGGCAGCTGAGAAGGAGGAAGCAGGATCCAAATGCAAGCACAAAAAATTATTAAACGAACAGGTAGGCTAAATCACAGAAACTCAGGACAGGGTCAAGGCTACAAGCAACATAAAAGAACTCACAAAGACTGAAGTAGACACAGGGCTTAAAAAAGAGGAGAAATGACCCAGCTAGGATTTTTTTGTTCTAAAAATGTTCTGAGAACATTACCATGCAGTGTTCTAATAATGTTTTCAGCGGGTAGTTTTCTTTTGGTTCCTAAAATGTTCTCTTAAAAGTTCTAATAACATTCTCTAAAAACATTCTAAATATGTTAAATGCTAACATTGTTAGAACATTATTTCCTGACGTTCTTATAACATTTTCAGCGGGTAGTTTTCTTTTTGTTCCTAAAATGTTCTCTTAAAAGTTCTAATAACATTGTCTAAAAACATTTTAAATATGTTTATTGCTAACATTGTTAGAACATTATTCCCTAATGTTTTTATAACATTTTCAGCAGGTAGTTTTCTTTTTGTTCCCAGAATGTTCTCTTAAAAGTTCTAATAACATTGTCTAAAAACATTCTAAATATGTTAAATGCTAACATTGTTAGAAAATTATTCCCTAACGTTCTTATATCATTTTCAGCGGGTAGTTTTCTTTTTGTTCCCAGAATGTTCTCTTAAAAGATGGCATAACATTCGCTAAGAACACTCTGAAAATGTTTTGTGATGACCTTCTATAAAGGTTTAATCATAACATTTTTAAAACATTATCCCCTAACTTTCTTATAAAGTTTTTAGCGGAAGTTTATTTTTGTTCCCAAAATGTTCTCTTAAAACCCCTCAAAAATGATTAGCTATAACATTGTTAAAGCATAACATTTTATTAATCTCAAAACTAAAACATCAAAATCTAACAGGTTTAAATGGCATCCACATAAATTATTAGAAGTTCTGCGTACAGTAGATGCCCAACATTACATGAAGAACTCAGTAAAGTCACTCATGCGTCTTGACTCCGGTGTTTGCTCAGAGCACTCATCATCAGTCTTTGCTTGTTTTGGTTCTTGCAGAAGAATAATCCAGGAATCTGTATTAATAATAGTGTTCTACTATTCTCTCTTCTAGTTGTCCAGCTGCTCCCCCAGTTAGCATTGAGCTCTGTTCTCTGTGTGCACGGTAGAGTTTTTCCTCATAGCCTAAAAAAGAAGATCATGCAAAAGTGTAAACATAAAGAATACACATACATTAAGATCACAAGCAATATTGACATTGAAAACTTTCAAAATTAGCCAGCCTAATTAGCAGTCAGAAATTATGTAAAGACTAATTTATTGAAAGTATAAATATGATAAATTATGAGTATCTTTTTTGTTTCTGTAATTTAAAACATACTTAATCCATGTATCCAATATCTTAATACAATAAAGTTTTAAAAATGGATATTTTTCTTACACAAATGCTTCGCTTTAAAAGGGCTTTATAACCCCGCCAGAGTCATGTGGTGGATTACTTTTATCATGGATGGATGCGCCTTGATAGACGGCCATTCACTGCCATTCTAAAAGTCAGAAGAGTCAGGACATTTTTTTAAATATAACTCAGATAGTATTCATCTGAAAGTAGAATGTTATATACACCTGAAGCCTTGAGAAACGCTCTTTCCAATTCATTAACGTTAACCTCTAACGTTATATGAATTACTGAATTATTATTAACTTTTACTTTCAAAAGACATTAAGATCACTTTTAAGTAAAAATACAGTATTCGTATGCATAGAACACAATACCGGCATTATAGTAGGCTACCTTGGTTGTAAATGGAGACTTTATTGTGTCATCGGTAAGTTAATCATCTTGAAACAGTCCGTTTGGAGTCTGCATTAAAACAAATCTAGCTGTTATTCAAAAGTAGCATACACTCAGATTTATTGCGACTGTCATACAATTCTAAGAAAGTAGAAAGTTAGGTCTAATACTGAAAAACATCAAGGATAAGAGAAAGCTATGTAAACTGAAAAAATACACACAAAAACTTACAGTTGTGAAAGAGTTCCGTTGACCAGGAGTTCTGTTGTTTTGTGCCAATATGTCGCCAATTTAGACAACGGACATTCTGCGCCGATTTCTTCAACAGAAACGTTGCTTTATTTGCGCTGTTTGTCGAGTTCAAATGTTCTTACGTCATGGGAACATCGCGCTGTGATTGGTGGTTTTAAACGTCGATCTACAGCGACCTCCAATCAGCTTCTCATCTCTTGTAAACGCATTTGTCGCAACAGTTCATTTCAGAGTAGCCTAATATATCCTCAAAACACTTTATGTATGCTGTTTTGACAATGTTCCTCTTTCATTATGGAAAATTATGCCATTATTCTATAGGTTAAAATAATTCTAAAATCTGTTACCTAAACAGCTTCCTTAAAATATCCTTACAATTTTATGAGCTTTTGTTAACATATATTATGAGATTTTGTCATCTCAGGTAAATGTCCACAAAACATTTGATGAATGTTGCTTTGATAATGTTGTTATTGTGCCAATGATTTATAAAAGATAACAACATTTCGACAAAAAATCCTTAAAAATGTATCATGCAAAATGTTTGTTAAAAAGTCAATTTAAAGGAATGTTTTATTAAAAACATTTTATCATCTCAGGACTAAATAATATCCTCAAAACATTTTGCGAACGTTAATTTGATTATGTTCTTCCTCTGTTATTATGGTAGGCCTACATTCAATATTTTATGAAAGATCATTCTATAAACTTTTACCTCATCAACATCCTCAAAATGTTACATTTAAAACATTCTGGTTTTGTTAACACGTCACATTACAAGAATGTTTTATAAAAACATTCCATCATCTCAGGCCTCAATGATATCCTCAAAACATTTTTCGAACGTTGATTTGATAATGTTCCTCCTCTGTTATTATGGAACATTGTTTCAGTGTTTTATTGAGAACATTGTAATATCTGTTATCTCAACAACATTCCCAAAACATCCTTAACATGTTACAGTGTTAATGTTTAAACACGTCACATTACAAACATTTTATTAAAAAAACATTCCATCAACTCAGGCCTCAATGATATCCTCATAACATTTTGCGAACGCTGATTTGATAATGTTCCTCCACCGTTTTTATGGGACATTGTACCAATGTTTTATTGAGAACATTGTAATATCTGTCATCTCAACAACATTCCGAAAACATCCTCAACATGTTACAGTGAAAATGTTCTAGTTTTGTTAACACCTCACATTACAAGAACATTTTATAAAAACATTCCATCATCTCAGGACTAAATAATATCCTCAAAACATTTTACGAACGTTGATTTGATAATGTTATTCCTATGTTTTTATGGGACATTGTTTCAATGTTTTATAAAAGATCATTCTACAAACCTTTACCTCATCAACATCCTTAAAATGTTAAATTTAAAACGTTCTAGTTTTGTTAAACACGTCACAGAACATTTTATAAAAAAAACATTCCATCAACTCAGGCCTCAATGATATCCTCATAACATTTTGCGAAAGTTGATTTGATAATGTTATTCCTATGTTTTTATGGGACATTGTACCAATGTTTTATTGAGAACATTGTAATGTCTGTTATCTCAACAACATTCCGAAAACATCCTCAACATGTTACAGTAAAAATGTTCTAGTTTTGTTAACACGTCACATTACAAGAACATTTTATAAAAAACATTCCATCATCTCAGGACTAAATAATATCCTCAAAACATTTTGCGAACGTTAATTTGATTATGTTCCTCCTCTGTTATTATGGGATATTGTTTCAATGTTTTATAAAAGATCATTCTACAAACCTTTACCTCATTAACATCCTCAAAATGTTAAATTTAAAATGTTCTAGTTTTGTTAAACACGTCACATTACAAGAACGTTTTATAAAAAACATTCCATCAACTCAGGCCTCAATGATATCCTCATAACATTTTGCGAAAGTTGATTTGATAATGTTATTCCTATGTTTTTATGGGACATTGTACCAATGTTTTATTGAGAACATTAATATCTGTCATCTCAACAACATTCCGAAAACATCCTCAACATGTTACAGTAAAAATGTTCTAGTTTTGTTAACACGTCACATTACAAGAACATTTTATAAAAAACATTCCGTCATCTCAGGACTAAATAATATCCTCAAAACATTTTGCGAACGTTAACCTGATAATGTTCCTCCTCTGTTATTATGGAACATTGTTTCAATGTTTTATAAGAAATCATTCTACAAACCTTTACCTCATTAACATCCTCAAAATGTTAAATTTAAAACGTTCTAGTTTTCTTAACATGTCGCATTACAAGAATGTTTTATAAAAAACATTCCATCAACTCAGGCCTCAATGATATCCTCATAACATTTTGCGAGCGTTGATTTGATAATGTTCCTCCATTGTTTTTATGGGACATTGTACCAATGTTTTATTGATAACATTCTATATCTGTTATCTCAACAACATTCCCAAAACATCCTCAACATGTTACAGTGACAATGTTCTAGTTTTGTTAACAAGTCACATTACAAGAACGTTTTATAAAAACATTCCATCATCTCAGGACTAAATAATATCCTCAAAACATTTTGCGAACGTTGATTTGATAATGTTCCTCCTCTGTTATTATGAGATATTGTGCTAATGTTTTATTGAGAACATTGTTTAATCTGTTATCTTAGCAACATTCCCAAAACATCCTCAAAATGTTACAGTGAAAATGTTATATCTTAGTTTACATTTAACCTTATAGGAACATTATTTGAAATGAGAAAACATCCTTAAAACATTCTTAAAACATTGCATTCAAATGTTTTATTTAAAACATTAACCAAACCTCTAGGGAATGTTAGCCAAAGTTCTAAGAACGTTCCCTGTTAGCTGGGGAGCCAACAAAATAGTAAACGTTGTTTTCATGCTCCCATCCCATGTCTGAGCTGGACACACGATTACTGTTTTGCTTGTTTGGGGGAAGAGCACGCGATTCTGGCTATAGAGAAGGGCGGGTGCGAGCATTGTGACCAGCTCACGGTTCTTCGCTCCCGTCGGACTCGGAACTATTTCCAGTCCGCACCCGCAGTACCATCGTGGGGCTCTCGAATAGATCTGCATGACTATGGCGTTCCGATAAGCTCTTTAATATAACTTTGCAACATGCACTCGTCTCAATGAACGTCACACTCAACGTCTTATTTTTTTTTTTTATTCTGCTATTTATTTATATTCAACTTAAAGGGATAGTTCACCCAAAAATGAAAATTCTTTCATCGTTTGCTCACCCTCAAAGTTGTTCCAAACCTATATGTGTTGTTCTGCTGCACACAAAGGAAGATATTTGGAAGAATGTAATCAAACAGGGGCCGTATTCACAAAGAATTTTAAGGCTAAAAGTAGCTCCTAACTGGCGAATTTAGGAGCAACTCCTAAAAATAATGGGCGTGTCACTCCTAACTTTAGGACTCCTCATTTTTTTTTCACTAAGAGTACAAAGAATTTTAGCCCTAAAAGTAGCACCTAAGTCTGGGACAGCTTAAAAGAAGTTGAGAAGACTCCTAACTCACTAAAGACCTATTCACAAAGGATTGTAGCGCAGCTGCGCATACCAGCTCATCTCGCAGTCGTCCGGGGTCCGCGACACAAGCCAGTCGCTAAAAAAATAAGCGTGTGCGCCTATTACTATGAATACGGTATATTTCAGTCACAGCAGAGGAAGAACGCGCTTCAGAGCGCTTGAGTTGCCCAGATCTTTCTTTTTCTTCTTTCTTCTTTCTTTCTTCTTTCTTTCTTTCTTCTTTTCTTTCTTTCTTTCTTTCTTTCTTTCTTTCTTTCTTCTTTCTTTTTTTTCTTTCTTTCTTTCTCTTCTCTCCATCTATCTTTCTCTCCATCTTTTTCTTTAATTAATTTCCAAATATTCATATCCTTTCTTTTTTCTTTCTTTTCCTTTCTTTTCTTTTCTTTCTTTCTTTCTTTTCTTTCTTTTCTTTCTTTCTTTCTTTCTTTCTGTTTGTCTGTCTGTCTGTTACAAAAAACAAAAACAAAATTGTAATAAGAAAAAACTAAATGGCCAATTCTTATAGGTGACATCCCATACAGTCTCACCTCATATCAAACAATCTTATTGTAGCATTTTGGAAAAATGTCCCATTATTCGACTTCAGAGGGCCATAAATTCCTCATTTCTAATAAGTAGAAAAAAATAACTGTCAGTTCTTGTAGGGGACGTCCCATACACACACCTCATATCAAACAATTTTACTGCAGTATTTTGGAGTAATGTTACATTATTTGACTTCAGAGGTCCATAAATACCTCATTTTCTCATAAGTAGAAAAACTAATGTCCAATTCTTATAGAGGATGTCCGCGTAACAGTATACACACCTCGTATCAAACCATTTTACTGTAGCTTTTGGAGAAATGTCCCATTATTCGAATTCAGAGGGCCATAAATACCTCATTTCTAATAAGTAGAAAAAAATAATGGTCAGTTCTTATATGGGACGTCCCATACACACACACCTCATATCAAA